GCTCTGAGCCTGACCAGGGTCTGCACCTAGGGATTGGGCCTGCCCTCTGCCACCCAGGAGCAGGCCTAAGCCAGCAGGGCGTTATCTCCCAAGGGATCCCAGACTGCAAGAGGGCACAGGCTGGGCTGAGGGACTCTCCCCCACCCCCCCCCAGTGCACAAATTTTTTGGCACCGGGCCTCTAGTTTGTTAATAACATTGTAAAGATTTCAGGTATACAACTGAAACTTAATATTTCTATATTCCATTGCATGCTCACCACCAAAAAGTCTGATTTCCATTCGTTATCATATATTTGACCCTCTTTACCCATTTCACCCTTACACCACTTCCCTTCCCGTCTGGTAACCACCAGTCTGTTTTCTGTATCTATGAGTTTGTTTTTGTTTTGTTTATTTGTTACTTTTTGTTTTACATTCCACATATGAGTGAAATCATATTTTTTGTTCTTTTCCACACCATCTGATTATATTTCATCTTGTTGTCAGAATGACAATATTTTATTTTTTTTGTCTGAGTACTGTTGTGCGCGTACACACACACACACATCTTTATTCATCAATGGACACTTAAGTTGTTTTCATATCATGGTATTGTAAATAATACCTCAGTGAACATAGGGGTACGTATATCTTTTCAAAAAAGTATTTTCATATTTGGATAAATACCCAGAAGAGGAAATGCTGGGCCATGTGATAGTCTATTCTTAATTTTTTTAGGAACCTCCATACTGTTTTCCATAGGGACTGCACCAATTTATAATCTCAAACAGAGCAAGAGGGTTCCCTTTTCTCCACATCCTCTATAACACTTGTTATTTTTTGTCTTTTTAAAAAAATATATTTTATTGATGTTTTACAGAGAGTAAGGAAGAGCGAGAGTTAGAAACAGCAAGGGAGGGAGACAGTTAGAAACATCAATGAGAGAGAAACATCGATCAGCTGTCTCCTGCACACTCCCCACTGGGTATGTGCCTGCAACCAAGTTACATGCCCTTGACAGGAATCGAACCTGGGACTCTTGAGTCAGCAGGCCTACGCTCTACCCACTGAGCCAAACCAGTTAGAGCTATTTTTTGTCTTTTTGATAATAGCTGATCTAATGGGTATGAGGTAATATCCCATTATGGTTTTGATTTGCATTGCCTTAGTAATTGGTGAAGTTGAACATCTTTTCCTATGCCTATTGGCCATCCGTTTGTTGTCTTGGAAAAATGTCTGCAGATCCTCTGTCCATTTTTTAATTGAATTGTTTTGTTGTTGTTGTTGAGTTATATGAGTTCTGTCCAAATTTTATATATTAGCCCTTTATCGGAAGTATCATTTGCAAATATCTTTACCACTTGGTTGGTTGCCTTTTTGTTTTGTTGGTTTCCTTTGCTGTGCAGAGGCAAAGCAGAATTTTATTTTATTTTTTAATATGTTTTTATTGATTTTAGGGGGAGAGGGAGAGATACAAACATCAGTGAGAGAAACATCACGGCCTCCCGCACGCCCATTACTGGGGATCAAGCCTGCAACCAGGCATGTGCCCAGCCTGGCAAGAGGCAAAGCAGAATTTTAAACTGAAATCTGCTTCTATTTTATTCCTCAAATGTTAGAAGAAAATATTATATTATATTGATCTATTTATTTTATAAAAAATTACTGAAAATCATTATATAATTTAGAAAATACCAACTTTCCACTTCTTATTTTTATTAATTATTATTACGTTAGAACTTTTCACACTTTGGTTTTAAAATCAGATTGATTGCTATTTTAGAAAGTTTGGATTTCTAAAATACTGACTTACTGTTTTTTGTTTTCCTCCCCTCACCCCTCTCCACCCACCTTTCTTCTATTCCCAGTGGACAAACTACATTCATGGATGGCAAGATCGTTGGGTAGTTATGAAAAATAATACTTTGAGTTACTACAAATCTGAAGATGAGACAGAGTATGGCTGCAGAGGATCTATCTGTCTTAGCAAGGCTGTCATCACGGTAAGTTTCTGTTGTCTTTCATTAAACAGGTACTTATTGAGCATCAACTATACACCAGGAACTATTCTACCTACCTAGTATACATCTGTGAACAAAATAGGTAAAGATTCTTGCCCTTGTGGTGTATATAATCTAATACTTTTTTTCCATAAAGCTATTTTAGAATGTTTATTGTTACATGCTATTATTTTATATAGACATGTAATAATTATCTAGTTGGTATAGCAAGCCCTTAAGTAAGGCCTTCAGAAAAAAAAAAAGGATGTTAGAAAGTTTCATGTCCGTTGAGATTGGTAGGTTATTAGAAATAGTAAAGTGTGCCGGGCCAGCTCAGCCAAAGGTTCGGTGAGCCTGACTGAGGCGGTGAAGGATGTAGAAAAGACAGAATAAGCTGGGTCTAGTCAGCCGTGGGCAAACTACAGCCCGCGGGCCGGATGCGGCTCGTTTGAAATGAATAAAACTATTGAAAAAAAAGACCGTACCCTTTTATGTAATGATATTTACTTTGAATTTATATTAGTTCACACAAACACTCCATCCATGCTTTTGTTCTGGCCCTCTGGTCCAGTTTAAGAACCCATTGTGGCCCTCGAGTCAAAAAGTTTGCCCACCCCTGGCTAGGTGGATTTTCCTGTGCCTGACTGAGGCCACAGAGAGATCCAGACAGCAAGCTGAGCCTTTATTTTATAGCCACAGGTAAACAAGGTAGTGGTCACCATAGTTACAGTGTTCTTGTGAGTTTCACTGTTTTGGTAGCACTTGCTGCATCTCCCTCAGCCCATTAGCTACCCAGATAAGATCTAGGGAGTATCACAAGGTCAAGCCTAACTATGCTAAGAGGGCTGTGCCCTCTAAGCTGGGACTTGTTTGCGGCTTTGCCAACAGGTTAGTCTGAGGCTTAACCCTATAGCTGCCTCCCTACAGTAAAGCAGGAAAATAAAAAAAAATACATCTTTCCCTGGCCAAGTTGCTGAACGATTGGAGTGCCCACCTCTGCACTGAAGGGTCTTGGGTTCAATTCCCGGTCAAGGGCATGTACCTGGTTTGTGGGTTTGATCCCTGACCCTGATTGGGGCATATGTGATGCCTCTCTCACATCGATGTTTCTCTCTGTCTTCCCCTCCCTACCTCCTGTCCACTCTCTAAAGGGCAATGAAAAAAATATCCTTGGGTGAGGATTAACCAAAAAAAACAAACATATGTCAGCATTTTAAAATTTTAACAAAATATATAAATCTATGCTTACCAAATTTTTTATGTATAGCTAACACCATGTCTTTGAATGTGGAGTTAAGTTGATCTTGTGTAAACTATATTCATAATGCATGCTTTGTAATTTCCAGTTTTGATATCTCTAAAATAGAATAAAAGCTTAAAGATACTTTAAAAAAAAACAACCTCTAAATATAGGTTCTTTCTGACTTATAATGATTTTCTAATATTTTACAGATGTCTTACCTTTATCTAATTCAATACCTTTTAAAGGACTGACTCACCTTTACTGAGTAATTACTTGGTTTACATTCAACTTAGTTTACGTAGGAACAAACCTCTTTTTGTACTTGTATTTCATACACTTACATAATGTTTACTTAAATTATGTAAGAAGTATAACAAGTAAACTGGTATAATCAGGTTTGGGAACAACCAACTGACCGGTTAAGCATATATCGCAACTAGTGGGATCAGAAGTGCCTGGATATGCTAAAAATAGCATACTAATAGAGAGTGGTCAGCATACCTTGGCATATTTAATAAAAAGCAAAAAAAAAAAAGTGTTGGTTAAGGCAGGTCAATTGAATGCAGGTCAGTGAAGGTAGTGTTTGTAGTTAAATTCTGAAAATGGGTATGTTAAAACTTAATCTAGATTTTACTAATACATTCAAAGAGAATTCACATTATGATAGACTTTTCATTGCTTATAAAAGTAGAAAGCACTTTGGATCTGTTTTGATATCTAAACCTGACATGTTTATTTTACACATTTAAGAAAAATCTTATAGTATTTTTCCTTTATTTTTCATACATTCTGCTCCTTTTGGATATTCCAAGTTTGAAAACAAAAGCTTAGTTGAGTATTGAGATAGAAAAACCTATAGAGGAATTGTTTGGAAGTGTTAAGAATTGGACTACTACTCTCCATTCTTAGGGACAGTTTTAAAAGAACTATTTTGAGCACGTTCAGTGTGGCTCAGTGTTTGAGCGTCGACCTAAGAACCAGGAGTTTATGGTTCGATTCCTGGTCCGGGCACATGCCCAGGTTGCAGGCTCCATCCCCAGTGTGGGGCATGCAGGAGGCAGCCGATCAGTGATTGTCTCATTATTGATGTTTCTATCTCCCTCTCTTTCTCCCTTCCTCTCTGAAATCAATAAAAAAATATTTTTTTAAAAAGAAATATTTTAAATGTAAAGGCTCAGTATTTATTTTGACTGGTATTTGGTACATTATAGTGTATTTTTAAATTGTATCTAGTTTATTATTTGGAGATTTTATTTCTCTTAAGGTAGAACATTATCCATTCTAGAAGACAGAATAGTGCATAGAAATGTACTTTCTTGAAGTGTTTTCCTAGGTTCCTCGCCTCCTTTTTGCATATTGCCACATGTTAGTTACATATTTGACTCTTTGAAAATAATATATTGATGGTTGATGTTAAAATAGGAAGGAATGAAATTTTATCTTTATTGTTTACTAAGTAGTAGTATTTCTAGAGTACCATGCTAATTTCTGTAGATTTAAATATAGTTATCAAGGGTCCTGGGTTCGATTCCAATCAAGGGCATGTACCTGGGTTGCGGGCACATCCCCAGTGGGAAGTGTGCAGGAGGCAGATGATCGGTGTTTCTCTCTCATCCATGTTTCTAACTCTATCTCTCTCCCTTCCTCTCTGTAGCAAATCAATAAAATATATTTAAAAAAATAAATATATATAGTTATCCTATCTTAAATTATGGACAATGATAATAGTGCATGGCTTATTCGGGGCAAAGGAAAATTTTTAATGAACATGTACATTGCATCTGCTCAGGAAAAACTTTTTTTGTAGATTTTTGTTGTTATTATACTTATATTTGCATGCAGAACTTTGGTGGTTGTTTTTTCTTTTCTTTAATTTTTATAAGCATTTATTTGAGCCAAACTGACAGTACATACCCAGGAAGCAAGGTCTCAAATACTCCCTGAGAATAACAGTTTTGCAACTTCTTTTATGCATTTGAAATTGAGGAGGGAAAGTAAGGAAGATTACATGGAGGTGGGAGAAAGCAAGGCAGGAATTGGATTAACTGATAGTTAAAAAGATTGTGTGCTCTCTTCAGGGTAGTTATTTCAAAGGGTGTTAACGTAGATGTACAGAAACAATGGACGGGGCTTACTTAAAGCATAGATAAACTTTCAGTAAAGATGTTTTATGTCTGGGGCGTGCCTACAACCATGACCTACCTAGTTACAAATTTATCATCAGATCACCCTGTGAGGTTACTTTCTCTTTTTTTTTCTTTCTTTTTTTTTCAGTTTCCCCTTAGTCATACATTAATCTGAAGGATGCATTGATGACCAGTATTTTGGACAGATAGAGTGGTCTCACAGTACTAGGAAAGGCTTATTCCTAGAAAGTCTCAGTATCGATGGCATCTTGTTCATTGGGGATGAGGCAATACCGTAACCATGGGAGTCAGATTTTTCCCCAACATGGCAGGCATCAGGTTGTTACCAGTATTAGGGTTCTTGGGTTTCTCAAGATAGAGACATCAAGAGGAAACCTTAAAGAAATTTCCAGACAGATTTTTATTAAGTGTATGCTCAAGCACAGGGAGGCAGTACAGGGGAGAGGAAGGTTCTCTGAACTGGCTCAAGGGTCTGGCTCTGCTTGGCTGGTTTTATAAGTTGGGGACAAAGTGAGTTTGTGCAAAAAGATGGGCTTGTAGAATTTTCCATGTGGGGCTGGAGAAGCAAGCAGTTAGAAGGGAGGTAAAATTCTGCTTTCGTGGGAGTGGGAGAGCCAGAAAGTGGAGGGTTGGTGACATTCTTACTGGTGTTTCTTGTGGCTAACTGGGGTCCTTGGGATCACATAAGGGGCAGCAGGGTGATGTCAGTGCTGCATTTTTCTTATCTGGCGTTCTTGGGATCCTGAGCCCAAGTTACCCATGCTGTCTCAAGATTTTAATGGCCTTCATTGAGTAAAAACTACACTCTGATCATTTCTGTCCTGTGCAATATCATGGTCGAGTTTCTGTCACTTTTTTAATATTTGGCATCTAGTATAACATTTACATAAGTCATGAAAAGAGTATTAACAATTATCTTATACATGTTCAGTAATCATAAATAGTTTGACTATGTAAACACAGAACAAATATATTATTGTGACTAATATCATTAGCAATTAGGTAAAGACAATAAAACAAAATGTTTGCTGAGTTCAGTATCAATCTGTATTTATGCAGGCCTTATTGATGTCTTGGGATAGTTGTCTACCTCTGGTATTGGCAGCTTCTTTTCCTCAAAGAGTCTTTGATGTCTGTAGATAGGAGTAAGATGTCCATTCGCAGTTAGGTGCCTGATAAGTTCCCTTCCAATGAGGTTGGAGAGTGTCTTTTATTTGATGCTGTCTTCAATAAACAAAATCTCCAGATGGCAGTCAACTGATCTTTAACACTAGAAAGACTGAAATTTAGTATATACCTATATTGCCCAAAAGCAGTCAAAATGACTGCATTGTGAAAGAATAACTAATGTGTAAAGAAATTTGTTTAAAATTAATTTTTAATATTTTTTTATATTATTTAGTTATATAACAAGTTATTCGACATTTCTTTCATGAATTTAGGGCGCAAAAGAAATAAAATAAACAACTTATTAGAACAAGTATCACTGCATAAAGATTCGAATAACAAGTACTAGTTTACCTTATTGCGCAATTCCACAGTCTGTATATGGCTCGACAAGTTTCAGAACAACGTGTTCACTGAGAAGCATTGACGATGGTTGTTGTTCATCT